ACTGTGCGATACGGGGGCCCATTCACTGTGCGATACGGGGGCCCATGCACTGTGCGATACGGGGCCCCATTCACTGTGCGATACGGGGGCCCATTCACTGTGAGATATGGGACCCATTCACTGTTAGATATGGGGCCCAATCACTGTGAGAAATTGACCCCATTCACTGTGTGATCTCGGGCCGCCCACTTTAGATATTGGGCCTTTCAGTGTGTGGTGTACAAGGCCAGGTCCCAGCAACACATTCTCGATTTCTCACTTTGCTTATGTTAATGCTTCTGATCCCTGTACAGTTTGATGCAGAGCAGCTTCTTCTCTGTCCAAACCTGAACCTGAGAAGGCTGCTTTCTGCAACAACTTGCATTTATGTAATGCCTTCAATTTCATAAACCATCACCTTTGATGCTGCACAGGAGAGTTTGACCCCAACCCACAAAGGGAAATGTTGAAGTGGGTGAACAAAAGATTTTTTTTTTGCTTTAATCTTTCACATGAACTGGGCGTCCCTGGTGAGGTCAGCATTTGTGAAAGAGGGATGTTTTAAGGAGGGCTTTGAAGGTGCAGAGAGCGGTTAAGTGGTGGAGAAACTTTGAGAGAGAATTCCACACCTTGCGATCTAGGCAGTGATGTAAGTCGAGGACACCGGAAAATTGGAAGGGTATAGACGGGTGGAGGAGATTGCTCAGATAGGGAAGGTTATGGCCCAAGACACCCAGTTGTGTTTTTGAATGTTAATGCTGTTATAGAGCAGCTTGGGATGCATTGCTATGGTGACGGAATGATCCACAATGCAAGTTGTTGTAACCTCTCCCTCCCACAAAGCTGGAGGGTCAGCAGGGGAGAAGCAGAATCTGCAATTCAGGTAAAAGTGAAAAAGAGAGAGAGAGAGAGAGAGTTAGCGGCATTCCCTCCAGCTTTTTAAATTGTAACCTTAATAATGCTTCAGCAGCCAGGCCGTGACGGTAGAGGAAGACTCCAGTCCGTGGGACAGACCGTGGCTACTGCTGAAGCCAGGCACAGAGGGAGGTCCTCAAAGCCTGCTGCCAGGAGCACAGGATACCCGGGCCTGCTGCCAGGAGCACAGGATACCCGGGCCTGCTTCCAGGAGCACAGGGTACCCGGGCCTGCTTCCAGGAGCACAGGGTACCCGGGCCTGCTTCCAGGAGCACAGGGTACCCGGGCCTGCTGCCAGGAGCACAGGGTACC